AACAGACCTTTCGCCAAATCAACTTTTGCCCGAAAATAATAACGATCTGTTCCTTCTTTGTGGAGAAGACTTTCGATCACGTGCTAGGCAACGAAATAGATCATGTTTCACTGATGTTCATTTCTGAACATGAATCGATGCAAATATGGGACGCAAAATGAATGTTTGCATATTTTGTTCTTTTATAACCCAAATAGGTTTTTTTGTAATTCCTGAGATTTGTTTAACTGCAAGTGTAATTCATGCAAAGTTAAACTTAATTACAAACATCGAGAGATCGACTTTGTGGTGACTTTAGGACCCGAGGCTGAACAAACGATAAACTTTGTTGTAAGTTAGTTTTCTAGTAGATCCGTTTTGAAATTCGAATTTCTTCACATAGTTTAATGTTAAATCAATGGTTAACTTTGAAGTTATGCTGTAAATGTTGCATTTGAGATGAAACTGTCTTAGACAAGACGTGTACAGAGTAAAACTTAATTACAGTACCAGACATCAACTTTGTCTAACTTTGTCTGTGGGTAGATTCGTTTTGAAATTTGAAAATGTTCACATAGTTTTATTTCAATAAATAATTCAAATTTAAAGTTATGTTTTAAATGTTTTCTTGAGAAGACGTAAACTTATTAATCTCTGTTCTGCCTCGCGCGTTTCGCTGGAAAGACTAATAAAAAAAGAGAGACTGCTCATAGTCTATCAAGCGTGCTCTACCTACGTAAGAAATACATATTGTCTTGTAAAAGATTACAAATAGGTCAAAGATTATAAAAAAAATGTGTCTTAAGATGAGAACAGTTAATTTTAAGCGGTACACGGTCGATTATCTCTAAATATGGCAAATTAAGACCATGAAAAGGTAAAAAGGAAATTCCTGGGGGGTGGGGGGGTTATACATGACCCCTCTGGAACGGAAATTCCGAGAGGGTGGGGGGGGTCTAATCGGAAGAACCATCCGTGGGGGGGGGTATGGATATTTTCTGGAACCACACAATCTTCATCTAAATATTTGGTAAAGTATATCTTTAATAAGGCCCACTGTTATCCATGTTTCAGTAAAGTCACATTTTAACTAACAAAATGAAGTTTGAAAGGTTCAACGTTTATGCAGTTCTCATATCCACAATGTGTGCCAGTTTGGATTATGTTTTCCATTCTGAATAAGAGTTCATTTATATAAGCATGCTAAATAGTACAATAGTACAATATTATTTTGTTGGTGTCCATTGCTAAAATTAGTGTTATTTTGCTCGAATTAGTTAATACTCCTTCATGATTATACTAAAATTTAAGGTACTCTGTTCAGTCTTATTTTGAAAGACAAAAGATTCATTAACCGCCGTTTGGTGTATTGTAAATAGCACACGCACACAAAATAATAAGTTAAGAAAAACTACAACATTCATTCAACAGCTTTCATGAACAATACAGGTGAAAATCGGAATACTCCAGTTTCAGAATAACAAACTGCAATGGGTTTTCTATAAACATGCAAACAAACTAAAACCTTGAACAATGGTTAGCAAGAAAACTAAAAATTGTAATAATCCCCTTGAGGGTACTGTGGGGAATGTGTATAGCAGCCAACAGAACCATGACCTGATGAGGGAGTGGGACTATATCTATCCCTTGAGTAGGCTATATGTGGAGAAATACTAGTATTGACTTCCCCGTTATCTTCAATTTGGAACAGGATGTCTCGTATACACTTCTTAGCTCTTCAGAAGTTGCTGGCACTGAATTTAGATAAGGTAAGTCGAATACATTGTCCTGTTTTAGCAAATGTAATGTGTACAGGGCATTATACCTGATAATTTACAACGTCAACAGAACCTTTTGGGTCTATCTCTCATTCATTGCAACTCAATTTTTGTTTCCAAGTGCCACTTTAATTACCCAAAACTTTCAAACACTGAAAATAAATGGAATCACGGAGACTGATAGTATGGAGTGCGGTTCGCCTTTAGAGGTAGATATAGAATTAAAGCACTGCCACAATTGGCTAAACGTTACACGTGCTTACCTTCGATTTCTGCTGAAATATCAGTGTTTGTAGAGCTCTGTGTGATAAATAATGCCTCGTCTTCCAAAGAATCCACTGTCTTTCAAAACTGAGATTTGCATGGAGTAGAATGACTGAATTCTCTGGGTTACAAAGTATGCAACTTTACAGTGTTACACGCCATGCACGTGTTAATTTCATTGTTAGAATTGTTTTGAAGAACTGTGACAATAAACTAACAACCCCCGGCTCTACTAAAATCGAAGATTCATCACAAAGAAGGAACAATAGAATTTGATGAGCATCACAATTGTCATGCCTACGTGTGACGAAAATCGAAGATCCAACACAGACAAGCAATGATTGGATTTCATAGGGATCATTAATTATAATTCGACCAAAGCTGGCTGCAATATTTTTCATAGTGCCATATGCCGCAGTAATTATCCATTAAGGTCAGTTGGGCCACTGTTCTTTCAGTGTTAAATCTTCCACAACAAGGATTTCCAGCCACTTGCCCAGTTGGGCACTGTTATGTTACAGCCTGTTGTTATTTGCCTCAGAAATACTTTGCGATTCGCCACATACAGTAAAACAGAGGATGAATAAAATGAGCTGTAGTCTGTGGCCATGTTAGCTGGTCATCTACTTCAAACTACTGTCTGGCATGATATCCTTTTGGACAAAGGATTTTTTCAAGTCTTGTCCATGGTGCGATCTAGGTGTGAGTTGCATATGCAAGGCAGCCGGGGTTTCGCAAACTGCCAGATGATGCTACCAGGTCTTCCAAATTGGTATGGGAGAAAGTTACGGGGGTGATCAAAGTCTAAAGTGAGAAGTGAGAATTCAAAACTTAATTTTCGCGAGTTAGAAATTGATATTTTAGACTTTACAATTTGGAAACTAACTTTTGTCATTCACTTTTTATTTCCTAAATTTACATTTTTTTTTTAATTTTGACTTTTGACGTTAAAGATCGACTTTTAGTCTTTACTTTTCACGTTCAATGGCAACCCTCGGCCATGGTACGTAATACCATTTTCAACAAAATTGATTTCGGATATCCCACATTCAGGAGCGATTTCTGTAGCAAATTTTGCCAACCGTTGTTTTGTTTTTGGTGTGTTAAACTTTGGCAAGCTCTTTCCCCATCTTTGTGTTGCAAGTATACCAGTTCTTTTTCTCCTGAATTTGTTAATAAAACAGGGTTCGTACGCTTTTGAGTTTGTTAAATTCCATGACTTCTGTGACTTTGTCAGTGGCCTTTTACAGTTTTCCATGACCTTTAATTTAGCAGTCCCTTTCCAAATTTTAAAAACCATCCGTGTTTTTTGGGTATTTCCTGGCATACTCAGGGCTAGAGAAACACGTTATGTCAAGCTGTTTTATTTCGTGGAAACATTTACAAATATTTTTGTTTTGACAGAGTCCATTTCAGGGATGATGTTTCATTTTAACTTGCACTTTTCTTGGAGAGCTCTGTAAGCTCAATTTCAACTTTTTTCAAAGCTTTTTCTTTGTCTTCGGCAGATTTTCGCATCGAATTTTACTTGGTAAGAAGAAGGAAGTTGGCCTTCTCTTCAGCTTCCATTGAAAGTTTGTTTGCATTATACTAAATTTCACTTTAAAGGGGCTTTTTCTTGTTCTCCAACTCTGCACAATCATTGTGAATTGCTTTGCACTTTCTGGTTTGAGCTTCCTTCTGTTTCTCTTGCTACTGCTGCTCAAGATGACAGCATACCGTTGTCTCCCTGTACTATGCAAGAAGTTCTCTGATAATTACCAGCTTGCTTAAGCCTCCAATGCTAAGGATGTGGTCATGAATTGAACGCTGGCCAATGAAAGTCTGTTCTTCCATGTTATCCATCATCACTTGGCGGATTACAGAAAAGCCTCTCTCCACACTCGCCTGTCAATTGCAAAGAATCAAGAGTTTCCTCACCAGCTCCCACAACTTAGAATGTGAACTCACACAGCCCATATGGTGCTCCAGAAAAACATCCAATCTGTCTGTCTAAAGTTAAACTACTCAAAGGCAGACCGTTCAGCCTCAACAGCTCTGTCCATAAACTCAGATTACTGCAAAGCTAAGGAGTAAAATTTCGCATGGTCAGTCTCTTGAATTGAACTAATTTCTTGATAACCACTTTGAACTTTGCGGAACATGCCTCTTTGTCTTGTACAATCAAGTGGGGGTCCAGACACATCATCACATTTCGTGCCATAGAGTAGGCTATAGGTGTCTTTTCAACCAGTTTGCTGACAACTGTGCTTAAGGTGATTCCTTAGCAAAAGAATTTAACATAGATTGTGGATAAAACTTAGTACACTGATGTAACTAGTCAAGACGTGGATAAAAAAGTAATAAAAAGTGGGCATCACCGTGCTCATTTTTACGTCACAATGCTTACAAGAACTGCTTTTTAGGACCCTTTGACAAAAACTGCGTGCAGCCCAAAACTGGAGAAAAAGGTGAGAGTTTTTCGACGATAGATGTGGTATTGCACAGAATTCAACTTAAATGTATTGTTTATCCACCTACGTACCAGAAAAATACCTTTTAATGCCCTTGTTTTAACTTAACGCTCCAAAATCTGTACAATTTAGTAAAATTGCCAAAAAACTGAAAATAGATTTACGCCAATTTTTTTCTCATTGAAAGAAAGCTCTGTTTTTATTCAAATCATGAAATAAAAAATAAGGGTCACCGTACTTGTTTTTGCAGGAGCGTTGCAGAACGTGTAGCCTCCCCTGCAGACATTCTTAGGGGATTGTCATGCATTCCTGCCCCACAAACATCTGCTGATCTGAGCAGGAAGTTACTTTCCCATTGTTTGGAAATATCAGTTGGAGAGCACGTGCAAATTATCGCGGAACCAACTGGCGCTAACTTATTGTTTAGTGAAAAGCCAATTATAAGGTGTTTTACAACAGGCCATCCAGTGGGGATTTAATATCCCACGAGCTTATTCTGCCGCTAAATATTTTCATGTATGCAAAGTTGCTTCATGTATGGCCGAATCTGCGAAAAAAGTCATGGGGAATAACTGTTTTCTCTTAATAGTCATTTGATTCCTTCTGCCAGAGTGTCTTTGGAAAGAGTTCTGTCTGCACCTCAGGCCTCATCAAAGATGCCGTGGAAGTTGATGTAAGTTTGTTTTCATCGAGCGACCTGTTTGTATGCAGTAACTGTTATAAATGCTTAATTTGATTTAAAAAAATGAAGAAAAACCTGTAATCAGTTCAGAAAGAGATAAAAGAAGATTACAAGAAAGGGGCATTTAGAACTTAACGTCTTCACCGAGATTCGGCTGAATCGGACTTTTCGATTGCTGCGTCAATCGAAAATACAATTGTGCAGTGGGGTGCTGCAAAATCATTGAAATTTGAAAGTTTTCGTACCACTTCTACTTCTCCTGGAAAAAGATGGTGAAAGGTCATCCGAAGGAAGTGCAGGTCATTCCAGTCAAAGGGAAAGTATCTTTTCAGTCATGCAGGAAATTCCTGAAACTCCGTCAAATGGTTTGTTTACCTTGCCCCCTCCTTCATTTCATTTGACATCCACGCCAGTGACAGCCAACTCGCGCTTACATTCATCTCTACAAGTGGAGCCATACAGAAGTTCAGCAGTAAAACTGGCGATCTTTTATCAAAGTAAAACAGTCAACAAATGTTAAGCGTCAGAATATGAGGCGTTTGGAAAAGCCCTTATTTACGGCCCACCACAAAGGATCGCCAATGCTGCTGTAAAATCCAAATCGTTAACTAAGCACATGGTTCAGGGTGTCCTGTCGAATGAAGTTTGTGGTTCATGCTCCAGATCAAACCCGTCCCTTTTACGAAAATGCAACAGGGAAAGCCTTGTAAATTTTAGCTTTCAATCGGTTTGCGAGGAGTGGAAGAGCAGAGCGCCAATCTTTTATTCCTTCTTGATGACCTGCAGCAGTGTTCAACTTATTTGAGAAGAATTGTGGCTGCCAAGTAGGATAGCAGGATAGCAGGATCTGTATTGCTTGAGCAGCGAAATCCTCAGATGAATGCCACTGCCAGTGTACTTGGAGTCCTCCTTAAAACAGGATCAGTGAAGGTATGAATGGTTATTTGAATTTGAACGGTGTGCTTAGGTCAGGAAGGAAGACAAAAGTTCTAGGCTTAAGTAAGAATAATTATTTTCTTTTAAATAGCAACGTAACCAGGAATTGGTTTATTGTGCGGCCTAGTTTTTTCTAAGTAATTTTAACAATTTTTCCAGAAAAGTAACTTTTCACATTAAGGTTTTCACAGTAACATGCAAATCGACTATTTACATGTTTTTGTGTGACATAACAAAGGACAAAGAAGCTTGAATTGGGATAGAAAAAAATATACAACATAAATATCAGCTGCATGATTAAGCCTTTTGCTATGTATGAAACGATAGTTGATTGAGAAGAGGATGACATGTGGACCCCACTGTAGACAACTAGGGTGATCTGGGACTTACTAAAGAATTTAAAAAGTCAAACAAAATCCTTTCCCTTCTCCTAATTCTGGTTTTGGGAAAGAGAGTGATTGGGTTGGGTACAAAAAAATTCCTTTTTGTATGAGAATTTTCAAATTTGTCATAACAGAGATAGGAAGGGCAAAAACTGCCTGCTGTGTGTAAGTAAGACAATTTATTTTTAGTGGTCCCTTTCTAGTGATACATCGTGCGAAATTAGAAATGTACGCAAAGTAAGCTTTAAGGTTAGGAGGGTCAACATTACAAAACTTAGATGTGGTATTTCCATAGAGGCAATTTAAAGCATTTCTCACGAGTGCACAGACTATATACTGCTTCCCCACAGCACTCACTGCAATCTTCCAATGTTTTTTTTTGTAGTAAATAAACTTGAAATAATTAGCTATGTTGCTAAACACCCACTTGACTGATAGCAAAAAGATTTTTTGGCACCACTTTTCAAAAAGCTTGGTAACCATTCAATTTTTTATAGCGAAACCTGGGCTCTAACCAGGCCCAAAAATGGCGGAAAATTAAGTCGGATTTATGTGATTGCGATTTATGAACACCTCAGTTTAATACGGAATTCGCATTATTCTTGGATAAAAGGTGTACAGATGAGTTTCATCACAATACAGAAGAGGTAAGTACATATTGTAGAGTAATTAACGTTTTTCTAGTTCGCCCTAAGGTTAGTGATGAAGAAAATGGTCCCAAAATATGCTGCCAGTCTCTCATACGATAATTTGGGAACACTTTTTATTTTGCCGAACTATCTTAAATTTCTTAAAAGTGAAAAGTACGTAAAAACTGGAGAAGAGGTTGTTTATAAACTTTAATACTTTATAATCTCAATTCTTATGCAGAATTCAATTTACCGCAACCCCATTTACATTGGGTTAAAAAAAACATGTTGAATCATGATATCCTGTCACAAAGTTTTCATACTCATACAAGCAGGTAGGAGCCCAATGTTGACCTAAGGGGCAAATTAACGGCTTTTTGTGATCCTTTCTCTGACAACAAGAACTGTATTTGCTTTTTTATTTACAAACTGTATCATTGTACTCACTATCTATCTCCTCATTGACTAAAAGCCCACAGTTAATTTTGGAAACCAGGACAATCTACAAATTAGTTGGTTATCCGCTAACTACTATTGTTTCAAAGAGCAATGTTAAAACAGGTCTGTGTGCCGGTGTATTTGTCATTACTTATTTCAAAACAATGTGTAATAAAATGTATTATTATATTCAGTTTTTATGATATCCAGAATAAGCAAGGTCTGGGTAAGTGTTATCAGCCTCGGCTTTCAGCTTGGCTGATATAAGACTTACCTCAATCTTGATTATTCCGGATATCACAAAAAGCAAATATAATCTTCTAACCCCAAAAACCTGTCAGGTTTATCCTAAGGAATGGAATACATATGGAATGGGCAGTTAAAGGTGGATAATTTGTGTGGCTCCAGACAATACCCATGCAAACAAATCTAGGAATTATGGGAGGAAAGTGAGTCTTAAAAATGCCAAAAATTTCAACAAATTACAAGTATGAAACTTTACAGAAAGGCTACAGGTGAATGAAATTTGTCCACGAGTGTCTAGGGGAGAAGGGAGGGTAGAAATCCAGAAAACGTTCTGTGAAAAGAAGTATGGATATTTTTTGGGAACAACATTGATGTCAAGTTCATATCGTTTATAAAACCAACTTGAAATTATGCTGGCAAGAAATGACCTTTAAAGGCATGAAAGGCTTTCTGTAGAGGTCACATTTCGTGTTAGTATATCTCCAGTAGATCATTGTTTTGTCTTCATACAGTATATCTAGTATCAATGTTGATTTCAGCATTGTAAGTACATCACAATAGCCGTATGTTTCTTCATCTTATATCTCCACAGTTATTAATAATATTTAATATATTGATTTAACTTGATTAGAACATGCTGTCATTATGAAACGTGATCTAAAAGAGACTTTAGACAGGGCATGGTTCTTGCTGAACTGAACAGTCTTTGTTCCTTTCAGGGAGAAGCATGGGTCCACGTCCCTGAACAGCGCCTGCTGGTTGAGCCTAACTTTGACTGACTTTCACTTATTTGAACTTTTTTCTCCATTGAGTTCATGTAGTTGTCTCAAAGTTGATTTTAATCAAATTTCACAGACTGATTGGATGCTTTTCTGGCTGAATTAACACACATTCTGGCTAATGAATAAAATTGTAAAGAGGAATTATTTGGGATGTAGTACTGGGAGCCCAACTTACAGCCGGTTTATTTGCCAGTAAATGTAAATGTAAAGCTCTGCATAGCAAAAACGACACTTTCTAAAAGAACAACATCTGTAAATACATTAAGTTAGAACTGGAGTTCAGAGCATGAAGTTTGAGTTTTAACTAATACAGTAACACCCCACCTTACGGTCACCTCGGTAATACGCTCGCCTCATTATTTTTGGCCACCTGGCAAAAAGGCTCATAAATTTCCTTGTAAAAAAAAACCTCATTGATACGGTCACCTGTTAATATAGCCAAATTTTTTTGCCGCATTGGTGACCATGTTAAAGGGGTTCCACTGTATTAGCGGGCGTGTCCAGCATTTGGAAGGTTCAGTTTGACATTTTCTGCCAGATTACGTTTGCGTTTTGAGCTGGAGGCAGTCTTTCTTAACTTCAGTTGCTGTTTGTCACCTTTTCTTAATCCCTTTACTCCGTTCAGTGATGGCTTTCGAGCTGGCACTTGTGATCTTGAAGATTTTGCCTTGGACTTTCATCTTGATATTGATGTGGGCTGCACTCGGTTTTTTTCCCTGCTACTGTGAAGAATAGGTAGGGTTAGCCCATTTTGATCTTTCCCAAAATTCACAAATGCTGTTGCAAGTGCTGCGACTGGAGCGTGACCTCTTGCTTTTGAAATTATTTTTCTATACACTTCCAGATATTTCATATAGCAGGCCCTGAAGTTGTTGTCAGTTGTTTTTAGCTTCAATTCAATGTCATCACTTACTTGTTTGTGCGGTTTGAGTATGTCTTTCAATTCCACTTCTTTCTTCGGTGATGGGCTGCCACAAGAGTCATCTCCTGGAGTAGCCTCTGACAATGTGTCTGTGGCCATGGGTACAACATGGTCATTGCTGTCTACACGCATGTCGATGGATGGCCTTTCATGCAGGTGGACAAATTTTTGTAGCTGGAGTTCCTGATGGTTTCCAATTGCAAGTTTTGCAAGGTTAAATCCTTCCTCGGGTTTCTGTGGAATGAAGTTAATCCCTGCAATTCCATATTTTAGGGCAACAGCAGCTTGATGTGCACAGGGCTTGCTATTGCTCCCCATGGGGCAAGAACAGATACCAGTTTGGCAGTTGACCTCATAGGTGACTCCTGAATCAGATCTGCTGGGAACAAGGAATTTGCAAGGGTCAGAACTGTTTTGCCTGATCATGCTGAGCTGTACGGTTAGGCCTGTTGCACCAAAGCACCTTGGAGCCAGATGGAGATTCTGTGTTTTGCCAAAAGCAAGGCGTGCAGTTTCCTTTGAAAATGCATTTCTAGGTCTTCTGTAATAAACTTAAAGAGCTCAATCAAGTTGTATGCTCTCATGCGATGAAGAATCACGCTCTTAAATATGTTAATCATTGATTCAGTGTAGTTATCTGTGTTATTTTCCCTGGTTAATAGGTTTCTTCTACAACAGGGGGCCCATTCTCGGTGTTGCTTTAACAACCTTTTTAGGTATTCGTGAGAGATGGGATACTTGACATTAAACTTATCATTTAGTGCAGTTTTTGCTGCTGAAAGAAATTCTTTCTCTGTCTCTGAGTAAACAAGTTTCTGGAAATGACTCATCAAATGTTGGCGATCATCGTTGTTCATGTTGTTGTTTGTATTGAATAGCCAGCGCTAGACAGCTTGAAGAAAGTGAAAAGCGCAGAGCAGCAGTTGGCATTCCTTCCAAATGTCAGAAAGAGCACCCCTCTACCCTAGGTCATCATCAGTCATAAAAATTTGTGGACCCATTTTTGGCTCTCTAGTACCAAAGGCATGTTGGGGCAGAACACTTTGGAGCTTTTTCAGGCATTGTTTTGTTACATGTTGTGATTGGCCAGATGTAATCCACACACCCAGTGGGAGAGCTCCAGCAGGGTGGTGGGTGCACATAAAGTACACTGGGTTGTTAAATCGATCAAGGCTTCCTGAAGCATGAACAAGGCCATTTCACCTGCCTGTGTTAAACGATGATCCCTGCTCATAAGGGGTGTGCATATTGCAAAAATCAATCGTTCTCTGAGTTGCCAGAGTTTTCGTATGTTTGCAGAAAGCATTTCCCTCCTTTGGGAGAATTTTTCTTATTATACTCATTAATAATAGCTGCAAGAGTGTTAAACATTTCCTGTCCATTAGGGGCCCCCTTTCTGTCAATTTGCCATTTACCATACATGCCTTTCACATCAGTAAGTGAGGGGCAATATTTTCTATCTGCCAGTAGCATTATTGATACAGAATCCTGCATAAGCTTTGTCTCATGGTGGTGGAATGCCTCTGAAACAAACATACCCATCTCAAAATAATTCTCAAAGGCAGCCTTTGTTGATGGAAGGATAGGGCAGAAACTCTGTTGGTGGAAGCTGTTGACGCTGTGATTGTGGTTCCACCATAATTCAACTTCACACATTTCATTTATTGTACGTTTGGTAAAAATTTTGACACATTTTGCTTTGGCAGTCAGTCTTCTTGTCCCTGTTTTTGGACAAGAGGTCAAGTTGATCTTCTGTGGTATTCGTTGGGTGGGCTTGCCTTCGTAGCTGTTTCCTTTGTTGTGCTTTCTTTTTAGCATCTTCTTGTTTTTTGGTTAATTTTTTGCCTTTGCACTGGCATATATATTGTCCTGGAAAGAGTACTCCCTTTCCTTTCCTTGCATGACCCCCACTTTCTGTATTGTATTTTATGTTAGATAAAGTAGCAAGGTTGGACAGCCACTTGTCTACATCTTCCTTGCATGCTATATCTAATTATGTCTTAACGTGAGACTTCGATACAATTTAGTAAAGTGGTCCGGTAAGAAGTATAACATGTGTAAACATAACTACAAGCACACCTTCCTACCGTCTTTGTAACAGTTCATCTTGACACCCTAGTTCTTTTCTCTTCTTTTTGTGCCAGATGTTTGGCTGATTGGTTTGGTAGTAGGGGGAGCTTTGTTGAATACAGAGGTTGGATTTGAAGCAGGGGCCTGGCTGTTTGGTGAGGTGGAAAAGTTGGTTGTTTTGGATCCTAATGTTTGTTCGGCAGTGGAGGCTTGGCTGTTTGGTGTGGTCGCAGCGGTGGCTTTGTTGGATAGTGAGGTTTGTTTTGGTGCAGAGACTTGGCTGTTTGGTGAGGTATTAGGGTTTGCTTTTTGGGGTTTGTTTGGCAGAGGAGACTGCTGTTTGGCGAGGTAGTAGGGTTGGCCTTGTCAGGTGCTGATGTTTGTTTGGCAGCAGAGGCTTGGCTGTTTGGTGAGGTTGCAGCTGTGGCTTTGTTGGATGCTGATGTTTGTTTGGCAGCAGAAGCTTGGCTGTTTGGTGAGGTTGCAGCTGTGGCTTTATTTGATGCTGATGTTTGTTTGAAAGCACAGGCTTGGCTTTTTGGTGAGGTAGTAGGGCTGGCTTTGTTGGATACTGATGTTTGTTTGGCAACAGAGGTTTGGTTGTTTGGTAAGGTAGCAGGGGTGACTTTGTTGGACACTGATGTTTGATTGGTCATAGAGACTCTGTGTGGAGTACTTGTCGTGCTCATTTGGCTTGATGGTGCTGTGGTTCTTTTGAGTGTTTCTTTCTTGATTTGAGTACTGGTAACTTTTATGTCCATTAATAGTGCATTTCTTGCTATCTCAAGAATAAGAGAGTGTTTGAAATTAACCATGTCTGGATGAGAAAAATCAAGTGGCAGACAGACGGAAATGTGCTGTGCCCATTTGGCTACAAATACTCCACAGTCATCACTGTTCAGTTGCTGTGGTATGTCGGAGGAGGGAATTGCGAAATATTTCCAATCATTCATGTCCCAGTTCCTTCCCATTATAGAAGCCAAGGAGGTCAAAAAGTTGTTCATTCTTGAAAATGCCATTTTTACACCCGCACCATTATATAGGGAGTCCAAGTATATTGACATCTTCTCTGTCATGCTCATAACAACCAGACACCAGTGCCTACCATGGTTAAATGGTGCGATAATGACCTCTGAATCGAAGATGTTGGGATACAATTGGTGAAAGTTGTATCTTTTGAATGTTTCTGTCGAAGATGTAATCAGTCTTGTGAAGATGTCTGAGTTAAGGGTTCTGACCTTGTTCCAGTCTCATAATTAACTGCAACAAACTGAACATAGTTTTATGAAACTGAATCAACACTAGTTAAGTTGTCTCTGTTCAACTGCTTTTTCTTTTAGTCGAATAATTTAATATTGGCGTAAGAGTGGTGCTTGTTAACCCAAAGCAGACTAGCGAAAGTTATGATCAACCAATGTCCACCCTGCATGTTTTAACAAATAGCAAGTAAACGGCCAGTTATACAGATTTTAGTTGAACAATTCATACAATAATTTTGATCTACATGTTTGCAGTTGTTTGCTAACCTGAGGCCAGTTGTTCCAAGGCCGATAATTGCTAACCTGGGGTTAAATTTTCTGAAATTTTTATCCTGGTTTCTTTTTCTTTCTTCCACAGCATCAGAAGCATTTTGTCAGATAATCTTTCACATTCTTTTTAGAGCATCCTATTACCAAATTGCAGACCAATGGAATTATACTGAAGTTGCTTTTTAAGCTTTTTATCTTAAATATTCAACTTTCACACCAACCCTGGGTTATCTTAAACCCACTTTGAACAACCCGGCCCAGTCTTCTAACAACTCATAGCTGGTCTCAAACTACTCGCACTTTGCGTTTTTGTTTTTTTTTTTGCAATTATGTTGCTTAGAAAGGTTTGTAAGGCTCATTTTTGGGTCAACCAATCTGACAAATTGCTGACCCAAAAATGAGCTTAACTGAATTTTTCTTAGAAACATTGCGCTAAACGAAACGATATAATTTAAGGGCACTTTCCAAAAGTCAGAACTGGGCGGCTGGACCATGGTCAGACCCAAGACATTTTGGCAATGAAATAACCTTTTTTTTGTGAGATTTTGCTGAAAAACCATCTCCTTTGCGCAAAATATTTAGGATTTGACTGATCTGGATGGTTAGTTTTGATTAAAAGTGAAATTCACATTACGATGGGAATGGGCTGGCCGGTCAGTTCTGCCAAGTGGAAAGCGCCCTAAGTTTAATATAAATCATACTAAAAAGTCAATACCATGCAGTTAGCTGGAAGTGAAAAGTATAACTTTTTTAAGCCCAAAATTTTGGATTATTTGTGAAGAGAATTTGATAAAAGATCAAAAGGTTTATTCTAAAAGGTTAAGACCATATTTCCGTGAACCACCTACCCTCCAGACCATCTGCCACCACGTTTAAAACATTATGCTGTTAATTGAACCCAAGATGGTTTATTAATCTTTACATTTTGCATTGATTTTGAGTCTTTGGGCAGAGTACTCAAGGAAATACAGTAGTAACCATCTGGATAATGCGAAATTTCATTAATTTATTGAAATTTTGCATTATTCAGAGTTCCATTAAAATAAAAATAATTAATAACTTTCTTAGGTTCCCCTGTTTCGGTTTTTTCAGGGTACTGGGCATGTTTGTGCCCAAACTTCCTGCACTTGTGACATTTGACTGAAAAAAAGAAAAAACAAAAATAAATGAACAAGAGATGTTTTCAGTAAGGTAAAAAAGGCATTTATGGAAATTAGATAGAAATGAACATTTTTGTAACCCTAGAAAGTTTGAATTATCAGGAGCTGGCTGTAGGTAAATGCTAAGATAGAAATATAAAATATGCTGCCTAGATCATCCACCTGAACTCCAGATCCAGACACTTCTTCCATGGTCCTGCATAGTGTTCTCTTTTGATGCATATTAGATTTTCTCTGACTTTCACATTTGAAACACAAATCAGCTACACTGACCATTAGTCCTACTATAGTTTGTTGATCATTAATAATTTTTCTGACACAATAGATGGAACGCATTTAAATTATTTTATAAGAATGGAGTTAACCATCATTAACTAACCACAGTCTATAATGTACATGTACATCATTTTATTCTCTCTCACCCCTTTCATCATCTCTCTGGCTCCTTCTCTCAGTTGCCCTTCGCCTGCCCATGCTTCCATCTCTTCTTCCTCTTTCTCGTTCTCTCCTTCCATTTCCTCTCCACTCTTCTTCCCTCTCTCTCTCTTCATCTTCTCTTCGTCTTGTCTCTTCTTCCTTCCGCCTCCTCCTCCTCCTTTCTTGTTCTTCTTCTCTTCTTCTCCTCTCTTCTTCGTCTCTTCTTCTCCTTTCCGCTTCTCTTCTCCTTCTCTCTCCTTCTTCTTGTCTTTTCCTCTCTTCTCCTTCTCTTCTCCTCTCTTCTTTTTCTCTTCTTCTCCTCTCACCTTTCTCTTCTTGTCTTCTTCTCCTCTCTCCTTCTTGTTCTTTTCCTTCATTCATTCTTTATTTGCCATATATACAAAATTTTACAGTGCAAGGTTGGAATGATGAGATTAAAGAAAGAGTAAATGGCGAGGAGACCAGGAGACCTGAAAGAAACCACGAGGCTTATAATGAGTCAGGTCTCCTCAACTTAGGATAAACTAGTCTTGATAATATAATTACAATATGGGCTTATGATAGCTAATTTTGACTGCGGACTCACACACACACATACACACACACACACACACACACACACACACATGTTAAATTAATTAATCTAATAATCTACTTAGTGCCATACTGAAGCTAATACGTACTAAGAAGGAATTCTTTAAGCTTTCTTTTAAAAGAAGCAGAGGAGGACGAACCAGTTATAGTAGAATTTAGCGAATTATAAAACTTTGGACCTTGGAAATAAATTGAGAACTGTCTGGTGTTCGTTCTGCATAGTGGCAAGCGAAATGAGGGGGCATTCCTAGTATTGTAATTATGGATTTGACTGTTTATGAGGAAGAGGTTATTGAATTTGGAAGGGAGTGTAGAGTTCTTGAGTGAAAACATAAAAAACCTAATTGAAACGAATGGATATCATAAAATTTTAAGTTTAAGCTACTTAAAGATGGGACTAGTGTTGGCATCGTAGGTAGAGTTGTTCACTATTCTTAGTGCACGTTTCTGTAAGATTACAATTCTTTGAAGGTTCGCTTTATAGGTGCCACCCCAAGATAGATTGCAATATTATAAGTATGGAAGTATCATTGAATTGTACAAGGTAGGGAAAGATTGAGTTGAGAGAAATAACCTAGATTTATGAATGATTCCTATGGATTTTGATAATTTACTGGCTAATAGGGATATGTGAGGTTTCCAGGTCAGATTATCATCTAAAGAGACACCCAAGAAGATGGTTTCAGAAACACGAAGGATAGGCTGCTCGTTTATAGAAACTTGAAATTCAAACAATTGCCTTTTTTGCCAAGGCTTAAATACCATAAAATTAGTCTTGTGTAAGTTCAACGAAAGCCGGTTTGCGGCAAACCAGGTTGACAATTTGTTTAATTCTCTATTGAATGTATTAATTAGGTAAACAGGATTATTGTGAGAGATAAATAGGTTTGTATCATCAGCAAACAAAATTGCATCAAGCATGGAAGCGTTGTTCAAATCATTAACAAACAGGATAAAAAATAAAGGACCAAGAATAGAGCCTTGAGGCACCCCACAGGAAATCCCCTAGAAATGTTAGGAAGACCTAACATTGTTAAATTCGACAAATTGTTTCCTCTCAGCGAAATAACTTTTAGCCCATTCTAGTGCCAGACCACGGATCCCATAATGCTCCAGTTTGTCAAAAAGGATGACATCATTTACCGTGTCAAATGCTTTCGAAAGATCTAAAAATACTCCAATAGCATGTTCTCTTCTATCAAAAGCAGAAGAAATTGAATCGATAAGCGCGAGGCTAGGGGAACGATTTTTCCTAAAGCCATATTGATTATCACAAAGTACATTGAAGTCATTGAGATAATTTATGATACGGTTGTAAATTATTCACTCCAAAAACTTTGAAAAGCAGGGTAGAACTGAAATAGGTCCGTAATTACTGAAGAGAGCTTTGTCACCTGATTTAAAAATAGGAACCACAAGAGCAATTTTCAATTCATCTAGAACACTACCGTGGATAATAGAGAGATTTATAATGTGAGTTAGTGGAGAGGAAATGCTGCCAATAGATCGTTTTATAATAGACATGGGAATGTTGTCATACCCTGCCGATTTTCCCGCCGGAAACTTACATGCAATATCGACAATCTTCTCCTGAGTTGCTTAATTTAGGAACATAGACTGACGGAAATCATCAAAAAGAAAATTTTTATGCGAAGTGGCAGATTGAATACGTTTGGCAAGGTTTGGTCCAATATTACTAAAGTACAAACAAAATCGATTTGCAATCTCCTTTGGGTCAGAAATTTCTTGGTTATGAACCTTGAAAACAGGGTTGGGTTTGGGTCTCAATTTCTTGTTATTTAGAACCTCATAAAGCAGATGCCAGGTGGATCTCATATTAGATTTTGACTCGTTTAACTTCTTATGGCAATATAAGCGTTTTGCAATTCGTAAAGAGTGATTTAATTTGTTCTTTTGTTTTATATATCAGTTCCTTCGGAGGAGAAGGATTTGAAAGATACCGCTTGTATAATTTATTTTTCTTCTTGATAGATTTAAAAAGGCCCTGAGATATCCATGGCCTCCTCGGATGAAGGCAGCGTTTTAGTTTCTTCAAAGGGAAGTGTTTTCCGTAAGTTTTAGTGTATCGCATTATTAGTTTTAGTGTATCGCATTATATCATTATACCCATCAAGGTTAGACCAGTCAATACAATCTAACTCCTCTAAGAAGCAGGATATAATTTGCTCGCTTTTGTCACGAACAAATAAACTTTCTTGGCGTTGATGGGTACACATATGATCAAGGGAAATGGAAAATATTGGCAAATGGTCCGAAATGTCAGTTATTAATAGTCCAGACTTCAAATAACTATGCTTGACATGATTGGAAAAATTGTTGTCCTTCAGAGTAGCAGTGTGAGAAGTAAATTCAGGAAGGTAG